GAGGCCTCAAATGATGATCTTTTTTAGGATTGAACAAATACCTACGGAAGCGTATTGCATTCACCAAAGGAAAAACAATCTGACAGCTTATCTCATAATTACGAGATTGGTGTTTCGTAATTATAAAATTTTATCTTGTAATTATGATTAAAAGATCTCATAATTACGAGATACTGATCTCAATATTATAAGATCCTATCTCAGAATTATGAGATAAGATCTCATAATTATAAGATATGTCATATTTAGGAGATGAGGAAGGACATTCATTGCCGAGCTACGCTACATGAAATGTGAACAATGAGTGGGTTGTCAGATTTAATATGCTTTAATTTTCCTTTTAGGTATGCAACACTGGGAAATACTGAGTTTCCTCGATTTGGATAGAATTAGTTTTAGTTTGTCAGCATTGTGCAGTAAGTCCTTAGAATTGCTTAGGCAAAAAAAAAAACACTCTACTCTGACTTGCTGGAAGTTGCACTGCTCCTGCAGGAGCCATTAAACCAGCACAGGATGCTCTATGGCTATAAATTAATGCATCTGAGATGCATTCCAGCTGGCTTAGTGGTGTCCCAAAGAACTTTTCCCCTGGTACCTTTTTAAAATCCTAGATTCTCAAGGATTGCAGCTGAGGCTTCAGAATTTTTTTAAATGACCAGGGCATGTCGATTCATATGAAAAACTTAAACCATACGGAATCTGTATTAATGGAGCTGTTGATGGATTTTCGCGTATGGTCATAAGGCTGCATGCAAGTAGTAATCCTAGGGTTATAGCTGCGTACTTTATTGATGAAGTGGAAAACAGGAGCGGGGCTCCAAGGCATATCAGGACAGACCTCAGCACAGAGAGTTGTTCAGTGGAACAGATGCAGATATTTTTAAGAAGTAATCCGGAAAACCAGTTTTCGGAAAGATGCTACATTACTGGCTCAAGTAATCATAACCAAATATATATATCTCGTAATTACGAGATCAGTTGTTGAGTTTTATCAGCAAAGTGGTGCTGCTGGTGATGCGTAAGAAGACAGAGGCCAACGACTTCTCTCATTTTGTAGATTTATTCTACTGAACAATATAACATGGCCGTCTGTCAGTCGGGTTGTGCGTGGACTGATGTGAAAAATGCACACATGTCAATGTCCATCTACGGGAAGTCCATTAGGTCAGAAAGAACAAATGAACATTCCCATTACTCATCTTGTATAGAACAATTTCTAATAATGTCCTAATAAGATATGGTTTACTCTCACATGATTACTAAGCTAATATTTGCTTGGTCTAGATCCTGTCCAGCGAAGACAAACGTGCCAACTATGACCGTTACGGCCAGACTGACGACACCCAGGCGTACGGCGGCGGCCGATACGGCCCTCCCCAGGACAGCTTTTACCCTGACGAGTCCTTCTTCAACTTCCCATTCAACACCAAGAACCAGAGGGACTTCACAGACAGCAAGTACACGCTGCACTTCAACCAGTACATTGGCGAGGTGGTCCCTGACAGCTACAGGAGGCCGTACCTGATAAAGATCACCTCCGACTGGTGCTTCAGCTGCATCCATATCGAGCCTGTGTGGAAGGAAGTGGTGCAGGAGATGGAGGGTCTAGGTGGGGAAATGTGACTCCCAGATATGTAGAATACCTTTGGGGCGGTTCAGAGATAACAATGTGCTTTTGTGATTTTGCAGGCGTCGGGATCGGCGTGGTGGATGTTGGCTACGAGAGGCGGTTAGCCAATCACCTCGGTGCTCATCGCACCCCGTCTATTCTTGGTGTTATCAGTGGAAAGGTGACGTTTTTCCATTACGCCGTAGCAAAGGAGCATCTGAGGCAGTTCGTTGAAGACCTATTGCCTCAGAGACTTGTAGAGAGGGTAAATATCAGTGCCTAAAGAGCAGAATTTAACAAAAGGAAATAAAATCACAGTTTGATGTTCTCTTTACTTTTAGATCACTGACAAAAATGAGCAGCAGTTCTTAAACAGCTGGCATGCTCTAAACAAACCACATGTGCTCCTGTTTGACCAGGTTCCGAGTGTCCCTCTGCTATACAAAGTAGGTTCTAATACGTTTTTTAAAGTCGTAGGGAAATCATATTTAAATGTCAAATCATTCTGGCTTTAACATGTATATAAATGTACTCTTTATCAGACGATATTGTCCCAAATGTGAGAAAATTTCAATAAAAAAAAAAAATTCTGTCTTTAAATCTGTGT